GTTTTCATAGTTTTCCACATGTATCAAATCTCTAAAAAGGTTTTACAAACATCAACTGTCTCTAGTTAAAGGATGACTGTTATTGCTCCGTATAAAATAAGAATGTGTTTCTTTCATCTTCTGTTCTTTTGGGGGGGGGGCATCCACAGCATTGTGAAAGTACTTCTCTTCCAAATCAATAGATCTTTCAAAAGTTATTGATTACTTATTCTCTGAGGAAACTTTAGAGTAAGGACAGCTTCTCCGAGGCATCATTACTTATAAAAAGTGGAATTATTTGGAATAGGGATCCCAAAAACCTTCCAAAAGACATGGTCTGAGGAAAAATGAGACATAATTTGTTGCCAAATTTTGTAACATGCACATGAGTACCATTTCAAATGTCTCTGTCACCATTTGCTTCTGATTGAGAGAGGAATGCATTTCTTACCAACTAATATGAGAAAAGTACTTATTTTTACAGATTGATGACCTTTCCAGTTCTTCCATATGGCCTTAGAAATCTTCATATTATGACTCATATACCTATGTGGGAAGGAATCCTCATGATAAGTAGAATCAAACAGTGAGAAATCAGAAATGTATGACCTAGGAGCACTAGGTTCTGTGAAAGCCTACTTAAAATTACCAGAACCATTCTTTACACTGAGTAAGGAGGAAAAAATATTCAGCAGATTATTACCTCTTAGTCATTATATTTTATCCCTTAGTAATATATAAAATATAGCTTAGATCTCATCTTCACAGGATCAGAATCTCTTTTTTATAATATTAATTGGTACAGTTTAGATATGCATATTAATAACATTCATCATAGGGAACTTGTATATGATATACCTTAGTTCCCCCTTCCTTCCTTTTTATATCCCCTCCCTTCAATATCTTTTCCCCTCCTAATCTACAAAAATTCATTTCCATTTTATCCTTTATTCTCATATTTATTTTTCCCATCCTACTCCCATTCCCCTTTCTTTTGAACAATTACTTCCTGTTTCACAATATCTATTGTGCATTTGATTCTTATGTATACTTTTGGCTTTTCACACCAGAGACACAATGTAATATTTACACATGGCTCCAGTTTCTTTCATTGATAAGTATGGTTTTAAGGTCTAAAACTCTTAATGGTTTCATTTTTCACAAAGCCAACATTTCTGAATTCTCTATAATTTGACATCAAATTATCTTTTCTTATTTTTCATATCAGGTGATGTCACATGATAATTTTGACTTTTATTCTTTTGATAATTATTAGTGTTGAACATCTTTTCTTATACTTCTTGATAATGTCTATATCTTTGTTTGAGACCTGTCAATTCAGATTCATTTTATATTTTAAAATTGGGTTACAATAAAACTTTGGCTTGCAAGCAACTTGTTCTGCAAGTGTTCTAGGGACTAACAAATATTTCTAATACATTTTAGCTTGATAAATGATTAATGTCCTGCAACATGAATAGTAAATGATGCAAAGATTAGGTGATCATGACTGAGCCGAAGTTTGCCCCCTGCTCACTGTAGAGTTATGGACGATCATCCTCCAAGAGCAAGAGGTTATGGAAGGATGTTGTCTGCAGAGGAAAAAGAGATGAAGACAGAGAACCCACACACACACTTTAAATGAGGTTAGGGAGATATGTAAAATGTGGAAAACAGTGTAACATTTTATAGAAAAGCATTACCTGAATAAGTTGATAGCAGTGGGAATGATGAATCTGTTTAACAATGTAATGTCACATTTAGGAGAAATTTTCAAAAGGAGACAAAAAAAAGTGTCATTGGATAGTTTCTTTGTTAAAACTGTGTGAAAGGAAAAGATTCTATTGAATAGATAGTAGTGTTTCCATTAGTAATAGTGAAAACTGTCCTAGGTAATAACCCTCCTCTCTATTGTCTCTCTTCTACAAGCCATGAAGATTGTCAAGGGTAAGTAAGGTTAATTTGTTTATTTTACTCTTTATCTTATATATTTCTCATTATTTTGTATCATACTGATATAGGGAATGAAATTTTTGACCTACTATATGCCTGGTATGAGTTCATGTTCTCTAAAATTAAAGAATGGATTTTAGGAACAATGAAGGTTAAGAGCAGAAATATTTATTGAAAGAAAAAAATTTTCCATCTGAGAGAGAGAGAATGGGTCTCAAGTGGGTTTCCAGGGACTCTGTCTGTTTAAGGGGATTTTATAGAGTAAAGTCATGAGGTGAGGTGGGTCTAAAGTGGGGAAAAAAAGGTAACTTGCAAGGCAGATAGGCATCAGGTTGGACAGATTTATAATCAACCAAAAAGTTTAATTGTTCAGATAAAATTGACCAAATCAGGAACAAATGGGGAAGTGAGTCACATAGCAAGCTAACATTCTTAGGGATCAGTAACTCTTTCTACAGGGGGTTGGAATGGTGATTCCTGGTTTCTCAAGGTGATCCCTAACTAATATCTAACATTTATACTCAGGAAATGGTTGATTTTGTTTTGCCTTGTCTTGAGATTTGCCCCACAGCAAGAGGTGTGTGTCTTCTCCAAGGTCACAAGACATTTGGTCCTATGTGCCAGCTTCCTTGAGGGCTTAGCCATGCCTGACTACCTATAATATTTCTATCTAGCTGAGCTACCTGTAACACTATTAAAATATTTTAGTCATTTTTCTATGACTAAATATGTTTTTGAGTTTGGAACGAATCATCTGAGTTTCCATTGTTTCTCAAGGAAAATTAATTTAGATATACAAATGCTTTGCAGTACAAGTATGGTTCCAGAATAAATTATGCTCTCAAACCAAGGTTTTACTGCTTTTGATTTTTTTCCCTTGAGTTGTTTGAATTCTTCAACTACTTTGGAAATTAAGCCTTTGTCTGACACATGGATTGGAAAATATTTCTTCTATTCCAGATGCTGCTTTTTAGATTCTGTTTTCCCTTTGCTATGCGGAAGCCTTTTAGCTTGATTTGACATTGCTCACCTTGAAGTGAGACAAGTGCATGTCTCCATACTAGGGTCCAGATAAATGAGGCAGCTTCTTCCATCTCACTTCTCTTACTGTGGCAACTATTGCCCCAGATGAACTGTGGGTCTGTGGTGCTCTCTTGTCTTGGGAAAAGGATGACATGGTAAAAGTGAACCGTCCTTTCTTCCAGGAGAACATAATTCTTCTCACTTCTCCAGGGAGGTGTCTCAATCTTGATTTTGAATTTTAGGATATTTGAAAAGATATTCTTCACTACAAATAGTGGCTAATAGGGTTTCTGAGGATAGAGCAGTCGAGTTAGGGAACTTCTTACTCTGCCATCCTCTTAGTCTCAATTCTGTCTTTAACTTTTATACTAAAACTAGAAGGGATTTACTCACCACATTACAATGTTACGGGATGACTGTGCTAATGATTTTACAGTTAGTTATTTTTACCTTGTGTGTTTTCATGAGTGGCTTTTCCAGCTGAAAATTTTCCAATACCATTTCTTATAATGCACATGTGAGGGGATAGAAGAATCCCACAACTTTTGTTTTCTTTATTTGTAAAAGGTAATGTGGAAGGAACTGTATTCTTATTTGACAGTTTTCTTTTACTTTTGGCACTATGTCCTTACACTTCTAACTGGCCTACAAGCTTTCTTCTGAGAAAACCTCCATAAGTCTTCTTACAAAAGTTAACTTGCATGTGAAAATGTACTTTTCTCTTGCTGGTTTCAATACAGTCTTTTCGTCTGAAACTTTCACTGCAGTTCTCAAGGTGCATTCCTTTGAGTTCATCTGACTCATTGTTATCTGGGCTTTTAGGACCCATGTGCCCATTTTCTTCCCCAGTTTGTGAAAGTTTAGGTTGTATTTTAATAAACTTTCTAGTTCTTTGACTCTTACTTCTCTTTCTGAAACTCTCCTAAAATTTGTATTAGTCTACTTGCTTATGTCTCATAAATCCTTTACGCACTTCTGCATTTTTCGTATTTTTGTACTACTGATGTTAAGATGGTGTACCACCTTAATCCCTTTATATTCTCAATACTTCATGAGACCCATGAAAGTCTGTCTTCTCATTTTATTTTAGCTTTTTAAAATCATAGCTATTCTAAGAATTCAAAAGTACTTAAAATTTTGACCATCCATGTATTAAATTTTAATAGATGTTATTAGATGCTTGATTTGGTTTAGAGACAATTTATGCAATGATAAACCTCTTAATTATTCATAGTCTAGTTAATCATTTATCTATGTCTTCATTTATGGCCTTTTAAAATTATGTTAGCACTTTATTCTATTTCTTTGATTTCAAGATTTAGTCTTGCATATATTTCATTAAATTTATTCATGTAGTTTTTTGTAGCAAACTTAAAAGGTTGATATAAATTCAGTAGAGTATGTGAATGGCAGGCAATGCTTTCAATTTCTTGAAACTGGCTCTAAGACATTTTGAATATATTATTTTACTGTTTGGATTTGCTTTAATTATTAGTAAGTTAAAACAGATTTCCTACCTTCATCTGATATTTCATACAAGGAATGTGGAAATGAACCAAATACTTTTTAGGAAAGCAACTACTTAAATTTCCCCAAAGAATCAAGCTTGAGACATACATTTTATCTAGATCTTTACTTCTGTGATTCTAGCATTCTTATGATTGCCATCTTATACAGAAAATGTAGGATTGACTCAGGTAACTTATGCCTCAGTTGTGCAAGACATTTTTTCATTAACCTTATTATAATAATAATTTATTTATGATGCTAAATGGTAGTATAAATTTATAAATGCTATTAATTATTCATAGTGATTAAAGTCATTCCTAAAACTATTCATGAATTCTTGTAGAGTTGTTTTACCCATCAAAATAACTTGAAAGCAAAAGAGGAAAATGCTCATATGTCTGCATTGCTGCACATCTCAAATTATTCTTATTAGAGATATCATAATGCCTTAACTGGGAATTTAAAGTAATTAGTGTTAATTTTTTTCTACATGGGTTATAATTGTAATACAAAAACATGAAACATAATTTATTCAATCAATTTTGCCATAGTTTTATGAAAGTTGCATTAATTACATAGTGCAAAATCTGGAAGTTCCATGTGACTCTAATATGTTGGAAAAGTAATTTTCTCATGGCCTCTTGCATTTTCTGTCTTCTCATTGTGTAAATAATAGGACTCAGTAAGGGTGTGATAACAGTGTAAAATGCAGCTTGGGTCTTATTGCTTGCAAAACTACTGATTGGCCAGGCATAAATAAAGATGCAGGATCCAAAAAACAGAGTGACCACAATGATGTGAGCAGAATGTGGAGAAATTTTTGGAGAGCCCTCCAGATGATCTTTGTTGGACAGTAATCAGAATGACAATATAAGCAATAAGTAACATGATGAAAGAGATAAAAGAAAATAACCCACTGTCAGCAATAACAAATAACTCCAGGATATATGTTTCAGCACAAGCAAGTCATCACTAGTGAAAGGTCACAAAATACGCTGTCTACAACATTGTAGCCACAGAAGGATAGTCCACTATTAATACCATATGGCTCATTGTGTGTAAAAAACCAGTTGTCCATGAAAATATCATAAACCCACTAAGCAACCTGTAGCTCATGACAGTGCTGTAGAATAGGGGTTTACATATGGCTATGTATCTGCAAAGGCCATGACTGTCAAAAGTGCCATCTCTGCATTCTCAAAGAAGTGCATGAAAAGCATCTGGGCCATGCAGCCCCAAATGGAGATAGTCTTGTGTTCAGCAAGCAAGTCTACAATCATCTTGGGTGTTGCAGCAGTGGACAGACACATGTCCAAAAAGGAGAGATTTCCAAGAAGGAAGTAAATGGGAGAATAAAGGGTGGAAATAAATGTCACTGTGATCACAATGAGAATGCAGTAGTACCATAGATCAAGGAAAATGCCACAAAGAAGAAAATTTGGAGTTCTCATTGTGCAGAAAATCCTGATAGAATAAACTCAGTCACAATCTAACCATATTTATGAATCATTTTCTCAGATGAGAAAGGGTCCAATAGTTCCTTATACATAGAGCAACTAAACAAAAGAAAGTCACAATTAGTATCAATACACTATTTGTATTAGTAATGATAATTGTTGATGACATGAAAGCATTTCATTGTACGTTTATCAATATTATATTTTAATTAGTGTAGGAACCCGTGTTTATAATTTGAGATTATTTTATTATGTAACTTTAAACAATAATCATATAGTTACACAGTAATTAAAAAGTATTTGAGAGAGTAGAAATTCCATTGTCTATGACACTGCCTAACAAATGATGCTGCCATTAACTAATCTTAGAGTTGTCAGTACTTCATTGTTATAGGAGGATGAGATAAAAATATCCTACAAATTATCTTGCTTTCTCTTATTACACACTTCTATACACAGTTTATATATAATTATTTATAATCTCTTTTGAAATTGTTATCCCAATATATCAAGAACAGAAATCAAAGGGAATTATATTAAGATCTATAAAGTAATTCTTTTTCTTTTTTCTTCTTTCTTTGAAGTAGTTTACCAAGACCATTTTATAGCTCTAAGACAAGCAAGTGCAAAACCACAAATTAGGACCTAATTTATACATGGTAGAATAAAATTTAATTCATTAAAAATAATTTCCTTTTTAGTTTATTTTGCACTTTACTAAAAATTTCAGGAAAAATGGACAAGTTTCAGAACATTTTAAGCTTGTCTTTCAAATATTTGTGTCACCATTTTTCTCTTTAAGCATCTTGTTTGGCATGTTTATGCATATCTATGAAGTTGCTTAGAAATACATAGTATCATGACTTAGTCATATGTATAGATTTCACATAATTTATCATATGAAATTAACTTTACTCAATGCTTTAAACTTTTCTCATAGGAGTCAGAGTAAATAAACATGATCATTAATGGTTAAAATGTCACTGTGTGTTACATTCTGCTTTAAAAGTTTCACATACATTAAAGAACTCATTAAAACTCTATGACATAAGCAGAATTACTGCTTTCCTGTTGCATATAAGGAAATTATGGTAGGAGTTATTTAGGAAATATTTAGAGGGTTTTTAAAGATTGTACAGCATCCTGCCTGGCAAGCACAAGATTGTGAGTTCAGTCCCCAGTGCCACTCTCTCTATATATATATATGCCACTACATATATACCTGGTAGCCTCTGAAATTGAAGGGATGCGTATTGAAACACAAAGTATCAAATATTCATTAAACATGGAGAAATAGGAAATCCTTCTGGAATGTGACAAAATAAATATGTTTAGATACCTTTATGTTGCAATTAAGTGCAGTTTGTTTTTGTGTAAACAATGACTCAGCATCCTTTAGAAAGATTTCAATCTAGAGAGATATGCTAATTAAATAAAAACATAAAATAAGTCACATAAAACATTTAATATCATACACAGTGTGTACAAAATATAAGAATTTTAATGGGAAGCTAATAGTAACACTTCAGATAAAACTTCAGGCTTTGGTATTATCTTCAAAATGTATAAAATATAAATACAACTTCATTGTCAGTAAAGAAAGATGAGACACAGATAATATGTGAGTGACTGTGAAAAGAAAAGACCAGTGAAGGGGTGATGGGTATTTAGAAAAAGGCTGAAGTAAATATTAAGATCAACAGAAACTGCTTCCTCCCTTCTTTCCAGTGACTTGCAATTCTTTCTGTTTTCTCTGTCTACTCAGTTTCCTAAAAAATTCTAAATTGGGGCTGGGGATTTAGCTCAGTTGAGTAAGCACCTGCCTGGCAAATCCAAGATCCTGGCACATAATAAATAAATAAATAAATATTGTGAACTATAACATTTTTCAGTCATTTGCCTATCCTTTATATTTTTTGACAAGTTGACAAATGCTTACAAATTAGAAAGAAAAATAAAAAGACAAAATGTGTGAGGCCTGAACTGTGGTCTATGTCCCTGGGAAGGTGAGCAGAGATGACCACGCTCCACGTCTGCTGTGTGGGTTTGTGTAACGGGCATGATGGTAAGCAACATTACTCTTTCAAAACTTGTGCGATGGTAATTTCAATACTGAGATGTAATGGAGAAAGCATAAGAGTTGAAAAGTAATAGATGGAATGACAATTCCAGCTGTAATTTGTGGATGAATTATTGAGGGGTTTCACATGAAATTTCAAGCCCTATGATATGACACCATAGCAAAGCATAAATGGATTAAATAAGCTTTATTTTGGTCTTTTATTTCAGATAGAACTCTTACATTCTTCTGCCTTGATGCTTGCATAGCTCCTTTTCTCTCACTTTGCAGAGAATGCTTTCTGAAAGAATTTTATTAGAGATACATGTGTTATGCTCCTTCTCATATTACGAGCAAGCAAAGACAATAGGAATGACATATAAATCACATAGTGTTGATAGAAATTCTATTAGTAAGGAAAATTTTCTTCACCATGAATAATGAAATACACATTTTATTATAATTATTTTACTTAACAATTTATCATGTGCTCTGGAGAAATTAGAATGGAAACAATCGTGTATTTTTCACATATTATATAAAAATGAGAAATCAAGACTAAAATAGTTAAGAGATGCAATGAGTATGAGTATTAGTTGATAAGGCATCAGTCTAAGTTTCCAGCTGGGCATAGCTTTGAGCACAAAGCAAGCATGTATTGAATTAGGGTCATTCATGCAAATCCAAATTGCAAGCCTGAGAATTTTCCATATGAATACCTATTAGGAAAAGGATCAACCAAGACTTCTTTTAGTGAAAGCTGGGTGTGAATATTTTTAATCTTGCCTATGAGTACACAATACATATTACTGAATACAAAAAATGGGCAAGCAATGACTAAGTGTTGATTTTTTATTAGTCAATTAAAGAAAATAAACAAAATCTTCATGCTAATTTTGCTTTGCAAAATTATGCATACTTAAACTGAAACAGAGGTCAACATCAAGTTATTATTCTTAGTAGAAGTCTGAAGCAATTGTGTAATTCTGTTCATAGGAAAGCTAGTCATCATGGGGCACAGATTTTTTTTTCATGATAAAAATGACTTGAAATAAGATTGAAGTGATGGCATACTTTATATAAATATAACTATTGACTAAAACTTGTGCCCAAAATAAATGATTTCCTAATATATGAATTATATTTAATTAAATTTGAAACTTTTTATCTTTTACATTTGTCATAAGTTAAAATTACCTTTAATAAAGTAATTTAATATTTTAAAAGGTTTCTAGCACTATCTAAATGTATCCTGGGACTCAAATATTTTTCTTTCAGAGACAATGAAAGACATACTGCACATCAGAATCAATGTAATCAGTAATTTTTCAACATCTGTTATTTCTAAAGGTTCTGTCCTTAGTCAGGTGTGCTGGTGCATGTCTATAGAGGTTATACCTTTGCATTTGGGAGACTATGCATGAGGGCCATAATGAATTTGTGGCCAGCTTTGGCTACATGTGAGTTCAATACCAGCCTGAACAGCATACCTAATCTCTGTCAAGAAAACAAAGGAAAAATTTTTTAAATATCTTTTTAAATCCTGTCATTGAAATCACACTCCTGTTTCATGGCTTTGGAATTTTATCATTCTTTTTGTACTAGGTTCCTAAATTATTTATATTTTCTTCATTCCCTTGAACATGAACATCTAAAGAATTGCCATTTTTTATTGTAAGCTCTCATTTGTGCTTATGGCTTGATAATAAATGCCGTGCAAATATTTGCTAAATATTTAGTTTTGATCATCAATTCTCTCTCCCTTTGACTCCTTCTCTTGCTTCTAATAGATATTTGTTTACATGTCTATTAATCCCTTAAACCTGATGGAAAGAAAAATAACCCAAATTTTCAAAAACTTATGAGCAAGCTACCGATTCTATATTACCTTCAATATTGTCACAGTTTTCTGGAAGATGGGAATTAATCTTTCCTAATTGCATTTACTTTTAGTCAAATGACAAATTTTATTTTGCAATATGATTTTGGAAGCATATTTTCATTCAGTTTTTACTGAAATTGTTGATTCCAGTTTACTGAGAAATACGGCTACGTAACTCTTTAATCAGAGGATTTCGTACCTCCAAAGCTAAAACATTGGATTTTTCTTCTAGTCCACAAAGAATTAATTAAAAATATCATCCTCAGTCTGTTAAACCAATTAACTATCATATTTTCACTCATCTTTTCTAAAGGCACAGAGCAGAACCACCATATCTAAAGAATCATTCAAAATGAAACATCTGATGTTGATAAACTGTGATACTCTGCATATAATTCTACACAATGTTGTCTGTCTCTTTCAGAAGATGTGAACCACTTTCCAAGGAATGGGAGATTTGTTGGAGCACTATGAATTGAAACTTCCCTGAGAGTAGTTAAAACACTGAGCTTATTGCCTTGGTGAACTAAGAGGGATGTTTATTCTCATTTTTGAACATTTATTGAACTGTATGAATCTGGGTGGTGTCTTGGTTAAAACACCATTGCGGTTGTAAACTGTGGTAAAGTGTAGGCTGCCTTGATACGATGGAACTTCACTTTTTCATCTTCCACCAAACTAACCTATGAGCTTCTACCACGTTGTGGGTAATTTTTAAAAAGAATAATCTTGGGCTGGAGGTTTAGCTCAGTAGCACAGGAGCCTGCTTGTCAAGGGCAAGGTCCTGAGTTTGATCCCCAGTACCAAAAACACAAAAAATGTTGATGTGGCCAGGGATGTAGCTCAGCAGTGCAGTGCCTGTCTGGCAAGCATGAGGCCCTGAGTATGATTTCTGGTACAAAAAATTATAATTATGAAAGAGCTGGGAATTTAGCTTAGTGTCATAAGTGCCTGCCTGGCAAGCACAAGGTCCTGAGTTCAATCCCTGGAACCAAATCAAACCAACCAACCAACTAAAGAAACAAACAGCTAAATTAATAAGAATGATTTTTGACTTCTGGGAGAACATGATGGATAGATAACAGCAGCTATGGAGGTTCTCTGAGTTAGCC